ACAAGAGGAACCCAGAGATGGGTCCCTGATGCTGGGTTTGCAGTTGCCTAGGGATGTTTCTTATCCACGTGCTATTTTAGAGCTCAGTTCTAAGACTCAATTTCATTCAAATCATCTTTCCTGGAATTAGGAAACAGATAATCTCAGAGCACCTGTTGATAATTTCTTCTTTTTTTTTTCCCCCTGAGACAGAGTCTTGCTCTGTTACCCAGGCTGGAGTGCAGTGGCATGATCTTGGCTCACTGCAACCTCTACCTCCCGGGTTCGAGCGATTCTCCTGCCTCAGCCTCCCAAGTACCTGAGATTACAGGCGCGCTGCCCCCATGCCCGGCTAATTTTTGTATTTTTAGTAGAGATGGAGTTTTACCATATTGGTCAGGCTGGTCTCGAACTCCTGGCCTCAAGCGATCCACCCGCCTCGGCCTCCCAAAGTGCTGGAATTACAGGTGTGAGCCATTGCGGCTGGCCAGATAATTTCAAAAAATCTAGCAAATGCAGTTATGTGAACTTCTGAAATGAGGCCAGGGCTGACTCAGGGCTCTTCTGGCCCAGGGTCTATCAGGAGGACCAAGGAATGGAGGGTAAGACTGTGATGGGGACATGATTGTGGTAACAGGGAGAGACCATGGAGTAGAGCAGGCTGGGAGCTGGCTGCAGGGAGCACTGCCACATGGCTGGGCAGAGGGAGGGAGGCTGCAGACAGCCTGGGGGTGGGCAGCCGGCTGGGGTGCCTGAGGTGAGGGGTGTGGGGCCCTGCGGGGATTTTCCTTGTGGCCTTCTGGGAGCTGGTGGGCAAGATTTCTGTCTGTGTGCAGGGCTCAGAGCTGCTTTCTGATGACGAGGTGCCCCTCAGAATGGGGGGACAGTCCTTGAAACGCCAGGCAGAGGCTCAGCCAGAGGATCTGTCCCTGGAGGAAGAGGCTCGATGCTCCAGCCAGCAGCCCCCAGCCCAGCTGAGCCACAGGCCACAGGGGGGCCCGCTGCTGTGGCCAGAGAGGGGTGAGTAGCACCCCTTTGGAGGAAGGAGAAGTGGTGCAGGGGAGGGGGTGAAGGCGAATGGAGTGTGGTGTGTGGCCAGGGCAGAGGCCTGCCTGGATGTGGGATGCACAGACTCTCCAACAAGGAGTGGATCTTGGGTGGGCGGCCACTGGGCTGTGGGGGCCTTGGTGTGCAGGGGCGGCAGGGGCGGTGCTAGGTGAGCTGTGTGACTGGTGATGAC